CGTTATTTGATCAAACCAACTATACAATGATTCTTAGGATACAATACCGTATCTAACTTGAAAGTATAAGCGAAATTGATTTTTCAAAGTTTGCAGCAGATTTYAAATTTTGCTTGATTCTTACAGACATCCACTCTTAAAAAGCTGCAACCCACATAAAGACACCAATTATTGTTTTGGCCAGCCATGCATGGCCCAATTGGCTTATTTATGCAAATTGACTGATAGAAAATCATCTATTTTGGGTAAAAAATGAAGAAATCAAACAAATTTAGAAAAGGGCAGCTCTAACGGAAATCCCTTCAGCCTTAACTGCACTCGAATGCCTCAAAGTAGGTTAGGAATTCTAAAATCAAACCCCATTCCTGACACTTGAGRCTCTTTTGGGCAAGTCCTGGACCAAGAGTGAAGAGTAAGTTCTGGGGGGAATGGGCATCACAGCATAGTGACCTTCTTAAAAAACAGGTTAGATCTAACCTGTTTTATGAGAAGGTAACCCCCCCCCCCCCTTAACATGAACATGGTTAGGTGGTCAGAATTTCACACTTGAGTGCTTTCCAAGCGAAGGGTCAATTCCTGTTTTGGCGTCTTGTGCACACCTCTAGTTCCACCCCAGTAGATATGAAGTACCAATCCTGCATCAGGTGGATCGTGGATCAGGGTGGATYGTGGAGCAACCCTCCCACCCCTCCTCAGGATCCTTACAGAGGTGACGTCATGGCTATTCATACTACCCCAGTTTTTAGTTTGCTGGATTRCACCACATCCTATATTTTACGTCAAAGATTAATCCAAATAAAATGTTCTAATTATTCATAGATCTACTATCTACACTAGAATCTACTATCTATACTAGATCTACTATCTACACTAGGATCTAAACTATATAGAGAGCTAGGCTATCAGCTATCAGGCTATCGGCTACATGGATGTATTTGAATAAAAGCACTGCAGAACATTTCTGTGGTTTTAGGGAAATGTGGTTCAAAGCTTTCTATATTATTCTAGAAATATATATATATCAAGAAATATTGACATAAGTTCTTAAAATTTATCATTTCGATAAACTCTCTGTTAGATGATGGGGGTAAAATCTTTCTAGAAGAATAAAGTATAGATCTCACGGAAGCTCAGTGGGTAGACTGTAGTGTAAAACAATTATCTGTAGGTCGTCGGTTAGATTCCGACTCGTGAGACAAACATATTTTTGATAGAAAATAAAAYATCCAGATCCATGATAGTATAGTGGTTAATATACTTGCATGTCGCGCAAGAAACTAGGGTTCGATTCCAGTTTACACTTTTGGGAAATTTATTTATTCATTAGTATACAAATAGGTAACTTGTTATTGAKTGTTTGGAAAAGATGTTGTTGTTTTGTTCAACAATAAAAATGACAATATCCAAGCAGGTGCCGCGAGATCTAAAATACAATCCAGCAAACTAAGAATAGACATGATCCTTTAACAATAGGCTTTGTCACAGAAAAACTATATTTTATGAATAATTAGAACATTTTATTTGGATTAATCTTTG